TTTAGACATATAAAAACATACAGTTTTTGGATTTGGCAGTGAAACATCTCTAAAACTACTTTTATTTTGTCTTCATTTTATGCCTAATCTGTACTATCCTTGTTGTTAATAAATGCATAACTACGAAGCTGTTACTTAATAAGAAATACTTTTAAGACACTGTATTTGTACAGATAAATGTGCAATTATCTGATTCGAGATTAAGTAAAATGGTTTCAGTGCTGATCCATCTAAATATGATGAGTAATGCAACATATCCGTACACATTTTCGTTTGCACCACAACCGACTGCTTTTCCGTATCCATCAACTCAATTTTTTTCCACTTATGTACCACCACAAACGACTATATCGTCTGTTGCTGTAAAGTTCGTTTTATCTTTGCTGTCCACTTCCAGAAAACAGTATCGTTACTCTAAGCAACTTTTTTTATTAATCATATAGAAAGAACGTTTAAAAATTTTAGCTCGATTACTGAACCATTGATGTTATTTTGACCAAATATATAACGAAAAATTGTAAACATATATTGAACAGCTATATCGCAGTAAATACATAGTTTTATAGCGTAGACAAAACTCTTCGAAAGAATATGACATTTTTTTAAAACAAAATAAACTGAATATCAAAATTTATATTTTTAACAAACTTAAAACTGCAATCTACAGTTGAATATTTTTTGTTAAACACTACGGGTAGCAGAAATAGACCTCCAGTTTTTCAGAACTGATAGCCATCGAACTTCCACTGGACGACGCGAAAGAACGACATTTAGCCCTAAACAGCTGGAACAACTTGAAGCTTTATTCAAACGAACTCGATATCCAGATATTGGACTTCGTGAAGAGATTGCTAAAAAAATAAATTTACAGGAAAGTCGAGTTCAGGTAACTTTTGTTTTAACTTTGCTAAAAACTTTTTTAAAACGGCTAGTCAAAGCAAAATGAAAAAGACAGTATGGTATTGACGTGTTTTTTTTATTCAGTTTTTTTCTGTCAAATAATTTTTTTCAACATTTTTATTCAAAAGAGTACGAAAAATTTTTGTAATCCAAAATAGCTTGCTGCTTTTATGATGTTTCTTCAAGGTTTGGTTTAAAAATAGACGAGCAAAAATGAGGCAACAAGATAGACTGCGAAAAGAACTACAAGAATTCTCTGCTGATGAAACTTGCCGAGATTTGACGGATACACAAAATTCAGAACTTCACCGACAAACACCACCACCAGCAGAACCAACGAGAGCACAGTTGTTGTCTACTGAGTCAACATTTAGCCAAGAGGAGTTGAAAGAAAAGTTAGAGCAGATAGAAACACAAGAAAACAAGTCAGCTTGTGCTAAGTCTAATTATATATAAAGCTTGAAAATAGCAATTTAAAACAACAAATTTTCTTCTAGACAGCAACAAGAAGTTGTTAAAGCTATATCAATGTTCTATTCTTTATTCAAAAAAAGGCTTACTATGTAGCATAATTATCAATGTACTCAAATCCTGCATGTTTACGTAATCTGTTTTTTTAGAATCAATATTATGACACCAACCGATGAGGAACAAGTATATGGAACAAACGGTATATCATCGTTATTTTTCTTGTTTACGATTTTACCTTTGTTTTTTACTTTTTTACCTCTTTATGGCCTTCTTTTGATGTCTCAATATCAAACAAGATAAACTGCAAGCATTTTTAGCCTGGGTTACGATGCCTCCAACACTACCAGCACAGATGCAGTATCAGACTGGCGCTTACACTGGCGGCACGCCGAATGCTGTAACCAATGCGCCATCCAATTTCAACTTTATGGCAAATACTGCAGCTTCTGTTAGTTATTATGCCTATACGCATCCGGACTTCTATAACTCGTACTACACAACTCCTGGCACCTATCAGAATCCTCATTCTAGTGCAATGTTTAGTGATCTGCAGCGATTAACAGCGCTACAAAATAACTAGCGGTTCAGTGTAACTATGGCTAAAAAAATTTTGTTTTTCAGTATAAGTCT